GGGCGGTAGGCGAGGTGGAAGTTGTAAGGTTCGAAGAATAAGGCCCAACGGGCCTGCCTTGGGTTGAGCTGCTTGGCAGAACGAATATGGATCAGGTTCTGGTGATCAGTCCAGATCAGAAACGGTTCTTTCGCTCCCAGGAGCCAATGCCGCCACTCTTCCAAGGCCCACTTGATGGCCAGGAGTTCCCGGTCGCCGACACCGTACCGTCGCTGCGTGTCAGAGAATTTCCTCGAGAAATAGCAGCACGGGTGAAGTTTCCCATCCGGGCCGTGTTGAGAGAGGACGGCGCCAGCGCCAACATCGGAGGCATCCACCTCCACCACAAAATCTCTGGCAGGATCAGGGTGGAGCAGGACGGGAGCTGTAGCAAACCGGCGTATAAGGTCTCGGAATGCCTGTTTCGCACCAGGGGGGAGGCAGAAGGGCTTGGGCAGGTTAGCTGGTTTGGTGAGGGATGTCAGTGGGGCGACAATGGTGCTGAAATTGCGGATAAAGCGCCGATAGAAATTGGCAAAGCCCAGGAAGCTCTGTAGCTGCTTAAGGCTGGAGGGCTGAGGCCACTGGGTCACGGCTTGGACCTTTTGCGGGTCCATGGTCAGGCCATTGGAGGAGATGGTGAAGCCCAGGAAGGTAGTGGACCGCTGATGGAAGGCACACTTCTCCAGTTTGCAGAACAGCTGGTACTCGAGCAGCCTGCTCAGCACGGCCCGCACATGGCGAATATGGTCCACTTCGGTGCGGGAGTAGATCAAGATGTCATCCAGATAGGCAAACACCCATCGGCCCAGCATGTCCCGCAAGACATCGTTGATCAGATGTTGGAAGACAGCAGGGCTGTTGCAGAGGCCGAAGGGCATCACCAGATACTCCCAGTGTCCGTTAGGGGTGATGAAGGCCGTCTGCCATTCGTCCCCTTCCCTAATCCGCACCAAATTGTAGGTGCTGCGTAGGTCTAGTTTGGTGAAGATGCAGGCCTGGGAGAGGGAATCGAGTGCGGTGGATAGCAGAGGAAGAGGATGGCGGTTCTTAACAGTGATTTTATTCAAGCCCCGGTAGTCTATACAGGGGCGAAGCCCGCCGTCTTTCTTCTTGACAAAGGAGAATCCCGCAGCTGCAGGGGAGGTAGAAGGGCGAATGAAGCCCTGTTGGAGAGCCTCAGCGACGTACTCCTCCATGGCTTTGTTCTCTGCGGGTGACAGCGAGAAGAGGCGACCACAAGGAGGGACCGCTCCCGGGAGGAGCTCGATGGCCATGTCGTAGGAGCGATAAGGAGGGAGAGCAGAGGCTCGCCTCTTACTGAAGACCTCAGATAGGTCGTGGTAAGCCAGAGGGATCTTATCCAGATCAATGGGCTCCGGGGGTGACGCCTCTTCTGACTTTGAGTCCTTTCCAGTCCGGAAGAGAAGGCAGCGGCGTGAACACTGGGGACCCCAGTCCAGGATCCGGCAGGGAGACCAGGAGACGTGGGGGTCATGTTGACGGAACCAGGGGTAGCCGAGGATGAGAGGAGAGGAAGTGGCCGAGACTACTAAAAACCGGATCTCCTCCTGATGATCCCCGACAGACATGCGGACTGGCTGGGTCTGGAACTGGATCGGGTAGGGTTGGAGTGGTCGCCCGTCTACTGAGGTCACCAGGAGGAATCGGTCGACGGAAGTCAACGGAATGCGAAGCCGAGAGGCCAGTTTCTGATCGATGAAGTTCTCAGCGGCTCCGGTGTCCAGGAGGGCTTCAGATGAGAGCCGTTGGTGTTTCAGGTGAAAAGTTACCGGTAACAAAAAACGAGAGGGGTCAGAGGAGTGGGAAGGGCCAGTCTACCTGGCGTCATCGTTTCCTGGCCGTAGCGGGCACTGGGGACGACGGTGTCGAGCTGATCCACAGTAGGCGCAGAGGCCCTCACGCCAGCGTCTCTCTTTCTCCTCTTTGGGGAGTCCACCCAGCTGCATGGGCTCCTCGCTGGATGTGCTGCTTGGGCTAGCTGTGGCTCCATCAGAGGGGGGAGGAGGTCACGAAGACGTGGTCCTCTGAGGCTGGAAGGGTTTGGAGGCCCGAGGGGTATGGCGAGGCCGCGACATCACACGTTGGTCAATCTTCAGTGCGAGGTCCACGGCCTCATCCAGGGTTTTAGGGGCCTCACGGCCGGTCATCTCGTCTCGGATGTAGTCAGCCAGTCCCTCCAGACAAATAGAGCGCAGAGAAGCGTCTCCCCACTGTAGCTTAGCGGCCAGGGTGCGGAATTGAGAGGCAAAGTGACAGACGGGTCGGCTGCCCTGGCGTAGATGAAGCAGCTGTGACTCCACTTCGCTGCTCGGGGGAACAAACGTCTTCTTTAATTCCTCCACAAACAGGGCATAGTCATTGCAAGCTGCCGATTTATTGTAGTAGAGAGCCGCGGCCCATTCCTGAGCCTGGCCAGACAAGAGAAAGGGCAACCTGGGTGTTCATCTGAATAATAAACTGAACTGGAGCCACAACACTGATGCTCTTTACAGGAAGGATCAGAGCAGACTCTACCTGCTGAGGCGGCTGAGGTCATTTGGAGTACAGGGAGCGCTTTTAAAGACCTTCTATGACTCTGTGGTGGCATCCGTCATTTTTTACAGTGTTGTATGTTGGAGCAGCAGTTTATCGGCAGCTGAGAGGAAGAGGTTGGATAAACTCATCAGGAAGGCCAGCTCTGTTCTGGGATGCACCCTGGACCCAGTGCAGGTGGTGGGAGACAGAAGGACTCTGGCCAAAATAACATCTCTGATGGACAGAGTCTCCCACCCCATGCATGTAAATGTTGCTGAACTGCAGAGCTCCTTCAGTGACAGACTGCTACATCCTAGATGCATGAAGGAGCGTTTCTGTAGGTTCTTCCTCCCTGCAGCTGTCAGACTGTACAATCAAAACTGCTCCCAACAATCATAGATGTTTGCATCTGCGCTGTAACTGCAATAATTTAATCAACTGATTCGCACTACAACCTGGTTTGCCTCTTATCTGAAGTTATTTTTATTTAATAACTGTACAGTACTCTCTGTATATAGTAACCACTGTCCTTAATGTAAATATGTAAGAAAAATTGTGTATGTTTCTGTTCTGTGTCCTGTGTACTGTTTGTTATATATGTGTCTTTCTGGCTGCTGTTACAACCAAATTTCCCCTTGTGGGACAATTAAAGGATTATTCTATTCTATATAAGAAATGCATGTGTTGGTTTATTTATATGTCTGTATGTAGACATGTGTATTTAAAGTGGCATAGAAGGTTGCTGAAATGGTATTACTAATTTTTTCAGTTTTTATTTTTGTGTATTCTTTATTCATCCTTAATTTTTTCTTTTTTCCTATTATTTATGACATTTTATTTATTATCATTATTATTTATTTATTTATTTATTTTAATGTTGATATTACAGTCCTACAAAGTAAGTTGGGATATCTCTTCTTGGTAGTTCCAGGAGGTGTACAACATAGCCATGTCACCAGGTCACTGACTGACTTCTACACACAACATTAGTCATATACAATTGTAAATAAATATGCCATTACCAATGAGTTATTATTTAATTACACCAGTTACGCAACAAACAGGCCCCCTGTGACAAAGTGGCTAGGACAGAATTCATTTGCCATTTGTCACTTGCGTATATTGTTATTTTGTGTTCTGTTATTTTACAGTCAGCCATAATGCTTTAATTTAGACATTGCTGGTGTAACTTCTCTTAACACACAATATCCCGGGTTTTGTTTGTGGTAGCAGTAGTTACATCCTTTACATCCATGCATGTGTTTTAAAGCAAACACTACTAACCATCAGATCATCTGAATTTTCTTCTGTTTACAGGCACATGTCTGGTAAATTATGTTTCTTTATGTTGCTTTGGTTATACTTACCATAGTGTCCATGTTGTGCATTCAGGTCCTATATGTGAGACAGGTGTATGGGAAGGGCCGCCCACTACTTCCTGTTTATATAGGGTCATGAGGTCAATGATTGCATCACTGGGTGCAACCAAATGGAGGGTTTTTCATTTTGTATAGTATTGTTTGTTTTCTTTAAAGTAGCCTTTTGAGTTATATTGCATGCAGTGTTTTACTTTACAAACTATTTAGTTGAGTAAATGAGTTTGTCAGTTTCATGCATGACTTTATTCCTGTTCTTTGTTTAGAATTTTATTATTTGGTTTGACCTATTTTGTTTCAATGGTAGGGACTAACGAGGTCAGGTGTGGGCAAAGTCTTGTATAAAGCCAGTGGGATTTTTGCATGCCTGAGTGATTGTTTTATGGTAAAAGGGAGATGCCAGCAATAAAGTATGCTTAAAAAGAACTTCAATTGTCTGCTAATTCTATTTACTTATCACCTTCCTTGCTGCTTAAGTTATGCTACATCATACCCCCTCACTGAAACACTGACAATGCTGAAAAGAAATGATGTTGGTTAAAAAGTAAGATGTAAGTAACATGTAAAACTAAGAATTTGATTTAATTATATGTGTATCAAAAATCTTTGATGGGAACCTAAAAGTCCCATGATAGTATTTCCTATTTGTTTTTCCTGATTTAAAAGAGAGAGAGAGAGAGAGAGAGAGAGAATAGCGGATTAAAGTGTGTTTAAAAATTAAGAGTCTTTAATTGAAGCTTCCTCAGTTTATCATGATAGACTTCAAAAGAACTTGCTTCAGAAGGAAAAAGGTGATATTAATGTTATTTTTTAATAACAATAGTATTTTAAATCATTTTAAATATCAGAATCACTTAGACTTAGATTTTTATCTGAATTATCCAATACAACACAAACATAATACATACAATACAAGAATAAGATACATACAACAAATATATTTAAATATTGACTGGTAAAAGTGACTGGTAATCATACAGGATATTTTCACACATCTTATATTTCCAGTATGCCAGGTGAGGTGATGCTATGTTGAGTATCACTTCTTTTCTTTCACAGTCAGATTCTTAAGCTGAGGAGATGCTTTATGGATAAAAAAAAAAAAACTTTGTCTCACTGATATGTCTAACTTATATTATGACTTTATCTCTTACATTATAAATTGACACCCAATGACCTTCGTCAGAAATTATGTTCAAACCTATACTGATTGATTACATAAAGGTTCATTTTAGCTTTAGTTACTTCTAAATCATACTATGAGTGCTCTTCATCAGAAGTTCCTCGTGGATTTTCTGTTGTAAAAATCATTTTTCATACCCAGTCACAGGAGACATTTCCTCAAGTTATTTCACAAAAGCATCAGCGCAGATGTTATTGCTGGCCTGACAGAAGCCATGACAGCAGCACCATACAGGAGGCAGTGAGGAGACTGATCTTGTGGCTCACTCCATGTGACACTTTTGTAAATGTTGACAAAAAGAGAAAAAAAATGCATTGCTTTCAGAAACTGTTCTAAAATATAGAAACATGTTTGACATGATTGTATTAAATATATCTTACGTGTGCCGTTCACAAATATAGAACTGGTTTCAATGTCGAAGGGTGTTATCTTGGCTGCATCAATCAAAACTTGCGCAATCTCATTTGCATTAGGGACCAGTGACAATGCAAATCCAATGTCCATGTCATTGACAATGGACCCATTACTGCAAAAGAAATAACCCCAAACTTTTTTTAAACTTTATTTAGTTTAAATATTTGTGAAATCGTATACCATAAACAATATACCTGAATGCAGTCACAGTGATGAAGCGGAATGAAGGAAATCTTTCCTGGTAGAAAGGTTCAAGCTGCAGAAATATAAATAAACACACTGTAAGTATGTATGCATTGCTTTTTGGGCTTGTGCTCCTTCACTTCCATGTCATTTGTGATATGTTATTTGCACTATGTAATATCATAGTGCAATTAATATTTCATATTTTCTTTCTGTTCATCCAGCTGCCCATTTTTTGAATGGTTAGCACATAATGAATATGTCACAGGTCACATTTATGCTTTATCTTTTTTCTTTGATCTCTTAGAAATCATGGCATTCAGTTGGTAAAAATAGAAACCCCAGCAGTATTTACTGTGGAGTTTTAGCTCAGTTATATGGTGCAAATATTTTTCCACATTGTTTATTGGATATAATGTATATGATTTTTTTTTTTAGCTCAGTCTGTATAATATTAGTAACAACGGAAAAATTGTTGACTTTAGAAAGGAGACCTGAACTAGGGCTGGGTATCGTCACTGATTTCTAGAATCGATTCAATTCCGATTCACAAGGTCCCGAATCGATTCGATCCACAATTCGATTTAATTCGATTCTATTCAATTTGAATCTGGGAAATTTTGACAGAAATATTATAATTCAGATCAGTACATTTACATATTTTTGTATCTATAAAAAGGAAGCTGACACACGCAAGACTTTATCAAAGGTGTGAGCATCACAGCAGATGCCTTTGTGTCAAAGTAGCTGAAGATAAAACACAGAAAAACATGAAGGTGGTTTTCCTGGCCTGGGATTTTATAAAAATATTCTGCAGTACATCAGAAATGAAAGAAAACCATTAATCAACACATGCTGTGCATCGTGGTCGAAGCAAAATAGTGAAAGTAAGAGTGAATTCATGATGATGATGATGGATCTTCTTTTGCTGCTGGTTCGGTCAAACTAACAGCTTTAGAATCAGCGCCGACAGATCAGAATCAGCAAGCTGTCGGCTTTCAGCCCCGACCGTGAGAAAGGCGACATCTAACTGATTCTGATCCGCGGGTCGCGCTGTGTGTTTACGTCTTTGTGCAGAGTCCATGTTCCTGCTCTCATTTACTGTCTTAGCTGTTTGGTGGTTGTTGAAATTTTGTGAGATTTCACCTGAGATTCTGGCATTTCGGGCAAAATAAATTTATATTAAAAAATCAATTCAGAATTTTAATGAATCGATTTTACGTTATCCAAGCCAGAATCGATTTTAATCGATAAATCGATTATAAAAACCCACCCCTAACCTGAACGTAGGGATAGAAAAAGGACTAGCATATCATTTGTTTGCTTTTTTAAGGTATGCCACAGAAATACTGTTATGTGACTTTATCTAAAAATTATGCAATTAATTAGAATACAGGCATTGTTCAACTTGAAGAAAACAAACTTACTGCTGTCCTTATCAGTGTAGCTCGTTGTTTAAACGCTGTGGATGATGAAGTCAGCAACTCAGTCGTAAATATCCCTTTAACAGATCTGAATTTCACCGCCAGTATTTTGACTGGCTCAGCAGTTGTTACAGTTGTAGTGGTTGTAGGGTTCACAGTTGTAGTTGAAGCTGTAGTTGTATTTGTTACAGATGTGGTGATTGTAAGATTTGTTGTGGTTGCATTTGTAGGTGTAGTCACTGATGTTGTGGTGCTCACTGTAGTTGTAGTTGAAGCTGTTGTAAATGCCAATAAAGGAAACAAGGTGTTGCTTTAACAAACAGTTCTGAGACATCATGAGTTTTAAATATGATCTTATCAAATATTGTTTACCTAAATCACTGACTGAACGGTCTGTTGTTTTTTATACATATTAAATCTCATTTAAAGTGTATCGCATGAAATTGTTATCTTTGAGTTTTTTGAGAAAATTATTATATAAATAACTACATGGGTTTTTATGTCACAAACAAAACTGTATAATAATCTATCCATCCATCCATCCATCCACTTCTCCTTTTTAGGGTCGCGGGGGGCGCTGGAGCCTATCCCAGCTGTCATAGGGCGAGAGGTGGGGTACACCCTGGACAGGTCGCCAGTCTGTCGCAGGGCCAACACACAGAGACAGACAACCATTCGCACTCACATTCACACCTAGTGAAAATTTGGATTTTCCAGTTAACCTATCCCCACAAGCTGCATGTATTTGGACCGTGGGAGGAAGCCGGAGTACCCGGAGGGAACCCACACAAACACGGGGAGAACATGCAAACTCCACACAGAAAGACCCCGGCCTGATGGTGGAATTGAACTCAGGACCTTCTTGCTGTGCGGCAACAGTGCTAACCACCGTGCCACTGTGCTGACTGTATATTAATAATAATAATAATAATATAGAAAATATATTGTTATTATTATTATTATGTATAATAATAATAATAATAACAATATATTTTATATGAGGGCACCTTTCTAAAACCCAAGGTCACCTTAAAGATCTTAATAAAACAGTAGATTAAAATACATTAAAATAAATTAAGATACAAAAAACAACAAATAAAAAGAAAAAACAAGATTTGACAGCAATTAAGATATGTATTAAAGCGAGTAAGCCGGTTTAAACATGTGGGTTTTCAACTGTGACTTAAATAAGAGAAGGTAATCTATATTTCTTAAGACTGAAGGAAGTGAGTTCCAGAGCCAAAGACCAGAGTGACTGAAAGCTCTGTTCCCCATAGTGATAAGACGAGCAGATGGAACAACAAGAGGAGTGGCAGATGAAGATCTGAGAGAGCAGGAAACAGTGATGATATGAAGCAGATCACAGAGATCTGAGAGTAATCGATCCGGGAAGTAATAAGACTATGGACAAGGATGGCAGCAGCATGGGGAGTAAGGAAGGGATGAAGTCGGTTAATGTTACGTAAGTGAAAGTATGCAGACCGGGTTACGTAATTAATGTGAGACTGAAATGAGAGAGTACTGTCGAATATGACACCCAAACTCTTTACCTGCGGGGAAGGAAGGATTGGGGAATTTTCAATATTATTGGAGAGACTGTGAGATTTGATTAAGATAGAGGTTATGCCAACGAGGAAAACTTCTGTTTTATTACTGTTAAGTTTGAGAAAATTGGATGAGAGCCATGATCTAATCTCCATAAGACAGTTTAGGGGAGATAGGTGGGAGCGATGAATTAATTATGTATATGATGTGAGAAATGAATCTGTGTATTGCCTTGTTCAAAATGAATCCTTCAGGAGTGACATGTGTGACTTCTGTTTACTTACTGTTTACTTGGGTTGCTACGACAGATGTGGCATTAATAGTTAATGTGAAGTTGTTGGGCTTAGACACAGCTTCTACTAAGGTTTTTGCAACATCTGCAGCCTGTGGGATTTCTGCAGGTGTTATCGTGTTGTTAAACACAACTTCCACTTCTGCTTCAGTATTAGATGCTCGTGTTCTGGTCCCAGCTTGTCTAAATGAAGAAAAATTTTTTTAAAATTTAATATCCTAAATGAACACTATTTTTAGTCATTGTCGATAATAAGATTAGTGTTGTTAAGAATGAACAAAAGTGAAAATCTTACCTAAATGCTATGACAATAACATGGCTGAAGAGTAAACCATATCGAGCTCTATAGATGAATTTATACTGTGCAAAACAAACAAGTAGAAAATTAATTAATTCAGATGTCGTTGTTTTAACAAAACTTGTGAATACATCTCAGTATTTAACTCACCATTACTACCACTTGTGCCTCAAGTGCCTTAAATTGTGGACTGGTTGTATTAGTGAGTGCATCTTCAAAGGGTGTAACCAAAACGGCTACTAGAATAAAAACTGGTCCACGGACCACTGCCATTGTTGCTGTCGTTGTTGTTGTTGTTGTTGACTTCGTTGTTGTTGTTGGCGTTGTTGTTATTGTTGTTGGCTTTGTTGTTGTTGTTGTTGGCATTGCTGTTGTTGCTGTTGTTGTACTTGTTGGGTTGGTGTTTGTAAGATTTGTTGTGGTTGCATTTGTAGGTGTAGTCAGCATTGGTGTTGAAGTGTTCACAGGTGTAGTTGAAACTGTTGTAGGCCTTGTAGTTGTATTTGTTACAGTTGTGGTGTTTGTAAGATTTGTTGTGGTTGCGTTTGTAGGGCTAGTGATCATTGGTGTTGTAGCGTTCACAGGTGTAGTTGAAGCTGTTGTAGACACTGTAGTTGTATTTGTTACAGGTGTGGTGTTTGTAAGATTTTTTGTGATTGCGTTTGTAGCTCCTGTCAGCATTGATGGTGTAGTGTTCACAGGTGTAGTTGAAGCTGTTGTAAGCCCTGTAGTTGTAGTTGTTACAGGTGTGGTGTTTGTAAGATTTTTTGTGATTGCGTTTGTAGCTCCTGTCAGCATTGATGGTGTAGTGTTCACAGGTGTAGTTGAAGCTGTTGTAAGCCCTGTAGTTGTAGTTGTTACAGGTGTGGTGTTTGTAAGATTTGTTGTGGTTGCATTTGTAGCTGTCGTCAGCATTGATGTTGTAGTATTCACAGGTGTAGTTGAAGCTGTTGTAGACACTGTAGTTGTATTTGTTACAGGTGTGGTGTTTGTAAGATTTGTTGTGGTTGCGTTTGTAGCTCCTGTCAGCATTGATGTTGTAGTGTTCACAGGTGTAGTTGAAGCTGTTGTAAGCCCTGTAGTTGTATTTGTAAGATTTGTTGTCTTTGCGTTTGTAGGGGTAGTGATCATTGGTGTTGTAGCGTTCACAGGTGTAGTTGAAGCTGTTGTAGACACTGTAGTTGTATTTGTTACAGGTGTGGTGTTTGTAAGATTTGTTGTGGTTGCGTTTGTAGCTGCTGTCAGCATTGATGTTGTAGTGTTCACAGGTGTAGTTGAAGATGTTGTAGGCCTTGTAGTTGTATTTGTAAGATTTGTTGTGGTTGCGTTTGTAGGGGTAGTGATCATTGGTATTGTAGCGTTCACAGGTGTAGTTGAAGCTGTTGTAGACACTGTAGTTGTATTTGTTACAGGTGTGGTGTTTGTAAGATTTGTTGTGGTTGCGTTTGTAGCTGCCGTCAGCATTGATGTTGTAGTGTTCACAGTTGTAGTTGAAGCTGTTGTAAGCCCTGTAGTTGTATTTGTTACAGGTGTGGTGTTTGTAAGATTTGTTGTGGCTGCGTTTGTAGCTGCAGTCAGCATTGATGTTGTAGTGTTCACAGGTGTAGTTGAAGCTGTTGTAGACACTGTATTTGTATTTGTAAGATTTGTTGTGGTTGCGTTTGTAGCTGCAGTCAGCATTGATGTTGTAGTTTTCACAGGTGTAGTTGAAGCTGTTGTAGACACTGTATTTGTATTTGTAAGATTTGTTGTGGTTGCGTTTGTAGCTCCTGTCAGCATTGACGTTGTAGTGTTCACAGGTGTAGTTGAAGCTGTTGTAGACACTGTAGTTGTGTTTGTTACAGGTGTGGTGTTTGTAAGATTTGCTGTGGTTGCATTTGTATCTGTAATCATTGATGTTGTAGTGCTCACAGTTGTAGTTGAAACCACTGTAAATGTAAAGAAAAGGAAACAGGTGTCACTTAAATGTCACAGTTCTGACATATTGTGAATTTAAAATATGATAATATTCAGTATTACTTACCAGGGTCACTGACAGTAACATTGGTAATGTTGAAGACCGTTATGTTTGGAGCTGCATTAATCAAAACATTTGCAATGTCAGTGTTATTAGGCACTGCTCTAGATGCAAACCGAATGTCAATATCAGTGATGATGGATCCGTTTCTGCAGAATGAATAAACCAAACATCGTTTTACTTGCATTAATTTATTATGTATTATATATTATATGGAATCTGCAAACAAAAAATAAATTACCGGAATCCAGTCACTATCATTGAGAGGTATGAAGGAAACGTTGTCTTATAGATAGGTTCAAGCTACAGAAACACACACAATCAAAGATCTGTCAGTACGAATCCATGCAATTAACCATTGCTTGACTTGAAGATCAAAACTTACTGTTGTCACTGTCATGGAGGATCTTTCTGTAAACGCTGGAGATGATGAGTTCAGCAAGTTGTCTGTAAATGCCTCTCCAATTGATGTGAACTTCAACTGCTTTGTTATAACTGGCTCAGCAGTTGTAGTTGTTACAAGTGTAGAAAACAAAGAGCAAGCAATTGACAACAAAGTAATTTTCATAAACACACAATGCTTTTTATATATATATACATTGTAAATCCCGTCAAAGGTAGCCTTTCTTATGAGTAGCACATTAAAAAATTAAGTGGGGGTCGGGGATTGGGGGGGGGGGGGGGGGGCACACACATGATGATGTTAAATATAAATAGTTGTATTGACTTGTTTCAAAAACAATCTTTCAGGAGTGACAAGTGTGACTTCTGTTTACTCACTGTTTACTTGAGTTGCTACGACAAATGTTGTATCAACAGAGAGATTGAAAGTGTTGTTGGGATTAGACACAGCTGTGACTAACGTTTGTTCAACATCTTTAGCCTCTGGGATTTCTGCAGGTGTTATGGTGTTGTTAAACACAACCTCGACTTCTGCTTCAGTATCAGATGCTCGTGTTCTGGTCCCAGCTTGTCTGAATGAAAAAAAGAAAGAAAAAAACGTAAATTTTTTATTAAATATCCTAAATTAACACTATTTTTAGTCATTATTGATAATAAGATTAGTGTTGATATAAATGAACAAAAGTAAATACCTTACCTGAATGCTATGACAATAACATGGCTGAAGAGTAAACCATATCGAGCTCTATAGATGATTTCATACTGTGCAAAACAAACAAGTAGAAAATTAATTAATTCAGATGTCGTTGTAATCAGCTGGAAATTTAACAAAACTTGTGAATACATCTCAGTATTTAACTCAGTATTTATACTGTGCAAAGCAAAGTAGAAATTAATTAATTAATTCAAATGTAGTTATAATCAGCTGGAATTTTTAAAGCACTTGAAAATCATTCTTAGTATTTTACCCACCACTACAACCACTTGCACTGCAAGTGCCTGAAATTGTGGACTGGTTTTATCTTCGAGTTGAGGCACATAGGGTGTAACCAAAACTGCTGTAAGAACAACAACTGGTGCACGAACTACCGGCACTGCTGTTGTTGCTGCTGTTGTTGTTGGCTTTGTTGTTGTTGTTGTTGTTGGTGTTGTTGTTGGCTTTGTTGTTGTTAATGCTGCTCTTGTTGTTGTTGTTGTTGTTGCTGCTGTTGTTGTTGGCTTTGTTGTTGTTGTTGTTGTTGTTATTGTTGTTGTTGGCTTTGTTGTTGTTGCCGCTGTTGTTGTTGGCTTTGTTGTTGTTGTTGCTGTTGTTGTTGCTGCTGTTGTTGTTGGCTTTGTTGTTGTTGTTGCTGTTGTTGTTGTTGCTGCTGTTGTTGTTGCTGCTGTTGTTGTTGGCTTTGTTGTTGGTGTTGTTGTTGGCTGTGTTGTTGTTGTTGCTGTTGTTGTTGGCTTTGTTGTTGTTAATGCTGTTCTTGTTGTTGTTGTTGTTGCTGCTGTTGTTGTTGGCTTTGTTGTTGGCTGTGTTGTTGTTGTTGTTGCTGCTGTTGTTGTTGGCTTTGTTATTGTTGTTGTTGCTGTTGTTGTTGGCTGTGTTGTTGTTGCTGCTGTTGTTGTTGGCTGTGTTGTTGTTGCTGCTGTTGTTGTTGGCTTTGTTGTTGTTGTTGCTGCTGTTGTTGTTGGCTTTGTTGTTGTTGTTGCTGTTGTTGTTGGCTGTGTTGTTGTTGCTGCTGTTGTTGTTGTTGGCTTTGTTGTTGTTGTTGCTGCTGTTGTTGTTGGCTTTGTTGTTGTTGTCGCCTTTGTTGTTGGCTTTGTTGTTGATTCCGCCGTTGTCGTTGGCTTTGTTGTTGTTGCTGCTGTTGTTGTTGGCTGTGTTGTTGTTGCTGCTGTTGTAGTTGGCTTTGTTGTTGTTGCTGCTGTTGTTGGCTTTGTTGTGTTTGTTGCTGTTGTTGTTGGCTGTGCTGTTGTTGTTGCTGTTGTTGTTGGCTGTGTAGTTGTTGTTGCTGCTGTCGTTGTTGGCTTTGTTGTTGTTGTTGTTGTTATTGCTGTTGTTGTTGCTGTTGTTGTTGGCTTTGTTGTTGTTGCTGCTGTTGTTGTTGGCTTTGTTATTGTTGTTGTTGTTGGCTGTGTTGTTGTTGTTGTTGCTGTGTTTTTTGGCTGTGTTGTTGTTGCTGCTGTCGTTGTTGGCTTTATTGTTGTTGCTGCTGTTGTCGTTGTATTTGTTGTTGTTGTTTTTGTTGCTATTGTTGTTGACTTTGTTCCTGTTACTGTGTCAGTTGTGGTGATAGCTGCAGTTAAACCTTCAGTTGTTGTTGAATCTGTAGTTGCTGTAGTTTCTGTAGTTGCAGTTGAACCTTCAGTTGTTGTTGATGTTGTACTTGTTGTTGTACCTTCAGTTGTTGTTGATGCTCTTAATTCTGTAGTTCCAGTTGAACCTTCAGTTGCTGTTGAGGTTGTAGTTCCAGTTGAACCTTCAGTGGTTGTTGATGCTGTGGTTGCTGTTGTTTCCGTAGTTGAAGTTGATCCTACAGTTGTTGTTGAATCTGTAGCTGTAGTTGTACCTTCAGTAGTTGTTGAAGCTGTAGTTGCTTCAGAAACTGTTGTTGCTTTTGTTTCTATAGTTCCAGTCAAACCTTCAGTTGTTATTGATTCTGTTCTTGCAGTTGTACCTTCAGTAGTTGTTGATGGTGTATTTGCTGTTTTAACTTCAGTTGTTGTTAAGGCTGTGGTTGCTGTTGTACCTTCAGTTTTGGCTGATGCTGTAGCTGCTGTTGTTGAAGTTGAACCTTCAGTTGTTGTTGATGCTGAAGTTTCTTTTGTTTCTGAAGTTTCAGTTGTACTTTCAGTAGTTGTTGATGGCGTAGTCGCTGTTGTGCCTTCAGTTGTTGTAAAGGCTGTGGTTGCCATTGTAACTTCAGTTGTTGTTGACGCTCTAGTTGCTGTTGTTTCTGTAGTTGCAGTTGAACCTTCAGTTGTTGTTGATGCTGTAGTTGCTGTTGTTTCTGTAGTTGCACTTGAACCCTCAGTTGTTGTTGATGCTCCCGTTTCTGTAGTTGGAGTTGAACCTTCAGTTGTCGTTGAATCTGTAGTTACTGTTTTTTCTGTAGTTCTAGTTGAACCTTCAGTTGTTGTGGATGCTGAAGTTGCTGTTGTTTCTCTACTTTCAGTTGTACCTTCAGTAGTTGTTGATGGTGTAGTTGCTGTTGGGCCTTCAGTTGTTGTTAAGGCTGCGGTTGCTGTTGTTTCTGTAATTGCAGTTGAACCTTCAGTTGTTGTTTGTGCCGTAATGACTGTTGTACCTTCAGTTGTTGTTGATTCTGTAGTTTCTTCAGATACTGTAGTTGGAGTTGTACCTTCAGTTGTTGTTGATGCTGTGGTTGCTGATGTACCTTCAGTTGCTGTTGTTTCTGTAGTTGCAGTTGAACCTTCAGCTGTTGTTGATGCTGTAGTTGCTGTTGTTTCTGTAGTTGCAGTTGAAACTTCAGGTTTTGTTGATGCTGTAGTTGCTGTTGTTTCTGCAGATTCAGTTGTACCTTCAGTAGTTGTCGATGCTGTTGTTTCTGTAGTTCTAGTTGAACCTTCAGTTGTTGTTTGTGCCGTAATGACTGTTGTACCTTCAGTTGTTGATGCTGTAGTTGCTGTTGTTTCTGTATTTGCTGTTGAACCTTCAGTTGTTGTTGATGCTGTAGTTGCTGTTGTTTCTGTAGTTGCACTTGAACCCTCAGTTGTTGTTGATGCTCCCGTTTCTGTAGTTGTAGTTGAAACCTCAGTTGTTGTTGAATCTGTAGTTACTGTTTTTTCTGTAGTTTCAGTTGTACCTTCAGTAGTTGTTGATGGTGTAGTTGCTGTTGTGCCTTCAGTTGTTGTTGATGCTCTAGTTGCTGTTGTTTCTGTAATTGCAGTTGAACCTTCAGTTGTTGTTAATGCTGTAGTTGCTGTTGTCTCTGTAGTTGCAGTTGAACCTTCAGTTGTTGTTTGTGCCGTAATGACTGTTGTACCTTCAGTTGTTGTTGATTCTGTAGTTTCTTCAGATACTGTAGTTGGAGTTGTACCTTCAGTTGTTGTTGATGCTGTAGTTGCTGTTGTTTCTGTAGTTGCAGTTGAACCTTCAGTTGTTGTTTGTGCCGTAATGACTGTTGTACCTTCAGTTGTTGATGCTGTAGTTGCTGTTGTTTCTGTATTTGCTGTTGAACCTCCAGTTGTTGTTGATGCTGTAGTTGCTGTTGTTTCTGTAGTTGCACTTGAACCCTCAGTTGTTGTTGATGCTCCCGTTTCTGTAGTTGTAGTTGAACCCTCAGTTGTTGTTGAATCTGTAGTTACTGTTTTTTCTGTAGTTTCAGTTGTACCTTCAGTAGTTGTTGATGGTGTAGTTGCTGTTGTGCCTTCAGTTGTTGTTAAGGCTGTGGTTGCTGTTGTACCTTCAGTTGTTGTTAAGGCTGTGGTTGCTGTTGTTTCTGTAATTGCAGTTGAACCTTCAGTTGTTGTTAATGCTGTAGTTGCTGTTGTCTCTGTAGTTGCAGTTGAACCTTCAGTTGTTGTTTGTGCTGTAATGACTGTTGTACCTTCAGTTGTTGTTGATTCTGTAGTTTCTTCAGATACTGTAGTTGGAGTTGTACCTTCAGTTGTTGTTGATGCTGTAGTTGCTGTTGTTTCTGTAGTTGCAGTTGAACCTTCAGTTGTTGTTAATGCTGTAGTTGCTGTTGTCTCTGTAGTTGCAGTTGAACCTTCAGTTGTTGTTTGTGCCGTAATGACTGTTGTACCTTCAGTTGTTATTGATTCTGTAGTTTCTTCAGATACTGTAGTTGGAGTTGTACCTTCAGTTGTTGTTGATGCTGTAGTTGCTGTTGTTTCTGTAGTTGCAGTTGAACCTTCAGTTGTTGTTGATGCTGTAGTTGCTGTTGTTTCTGTAGTTGCAGTTGAACCTTCAGTTGTTGTTGATGCTGTAGTTGCTGTTGTTTCTGTAGTTGCAGTTGAACCTTCAGTTGTTGTTAATGCTGTAGTTGCTGTTGTTTCTGTAGTTGCAGTTGAACCTTCAGTTGCTGTTTGTGCCGTAATGACTGTTGTACCTTCAGTTGTTGATGCTGTAGTTGCTGTTGTTTCTGTATTTGCTGTTGAACCTTCAGTTGTTGTTGATGCTGTAGTTGCTGTTGTTTCTGTAGTTGCACTTGAACCCTCAGTTGTTGTTGATGCTCCCGTTTCTGTAGTTGTAGTTGAAACCTCAGTTGTTGTTGAATCTGTAGTTACTGTTTTTTCTGTAGTTTCAGTTGTACCTTCAGTAGTTGTTGATGGTGTAGTTGCTGTTGTGCCTTCAGTTGTTGTTAAGGCTGTGGTTGCTGTTGTACCTTCAGTTGTTGTTAAGGCTGTGGTTGCTGTTGTTTCTGTAATTGCAGTTGAACCTTCAGTTGTTGTTAATGCTGTAGTTGCTGTTGTCTCTGTAGTTGCAGTTGAACCTTCAGTTGTTGTTTGTGCTGTAATGACTGTTGTACCTTCAGTTGTTGTTGATTCTGTAGTTTCTTCAGATACTGTAGTTGGAGTTGTACCTTCAGTTGTTGTTGATGCTGTAGTTGCTGTTGTTTCTGTAGTTGCAGTTGAACCTTCAGTTGTTGTTTGTGCCGTAATGACTGTTGTACCTTCAGTTGTTATTGATTCTGTAGTTTCTTCAGATACTGTAGTTGGAGTTGTACCTTCAGTTGTTGTTGATGCTGTTGTTGCTGTTGTTTCTGTAGTTGCAGTTGAACCTTCAGTTGTTGTTGATGCTGTAGTTGCTGTTGTTTCTTTAGTTGCAGTTGAACCCTCAGTTGTTATTGATGCTCCCGTTTCTGTAATGTCAGTTGAACCTTCAGTTGTTGTTTGTGCCGTAATGACTGTTGTACCTTCAGTTGTTGTTGATTCTGTAGTTTCTTCAGATACTGTAGTTGGAGTTGTACCTTCAGTTGTTGTTGATGCTGTAGTTGCTGTTGTTTCTGTAGTTGCAGTTGAAACTTCAGTTGTTGATGCTGTAGTTGCTGTTGTTTCTGCAGTTTCAGTTGTACCTTCAGTAGTTGTCGATGCTGTTGTTTCTGTAGTTGCAGTTGAACCTTCAGTTGTTGTTTGTGCCGTAATGACTGTTGTTTCTGCAGTTTCAGTTGTACCTTCAGTAGTTGTCGATGCTGTTGTTTCTGTAGTTCTAGTTGAACCTTCAGTTGCTGTTTGTGCCGTAATGATTGTTGTTTCTGCAGTTTCAGTTGTACCTTCAGTAGTTGTCGATGCTGTTGTTTCTGTAGTTGCAGTTGAACCTTCAGTTGTTGTTTGTGCCGTAATGACTGTTGTATCTTCAATTGTTGATGTTGTAGTTTCTTCACATACTGTAGTTGGAGTTTTACCTTCACCTGTTGTTGATGCTGTAGTTGCTGTTGTTTCTGTATTTGCTGTTGAACCTTCAGTTGTTGATGATGCTCCCATTTCTGTAGTTGTAGTTGAACCTTCAGTTGTTGTTGAATCTGTAGTTACTGTTTTTTCTGCAGTTGCAGTTGAACCTTCAGTAGTTGTTGATGGTGTAGTTGCTGTTGTGTCTTCAGTTGTTGTTAAGGCTGTGGTTGCCGTTGTACCTTCAGTTGTTGTTAAGGCTGTGGTTGCTGTTGTTTCTGTAATTGCAGTTGAACCTTCAGTTGTTGTTAATGCTGTAGTTGCTGTTGTCTCTGTAGTTTCAGTTGTACTTTCAGTTGTTGATGCTGTAGTTGCAGTTGCTTCTGTAGTTTCAGTTATACCTTCAGTAGTTGTTGATGCTGTTGTTTCTGTAGTTCCAGTTGAACCTTCAGTTGTTGTTTGTGCCGTAATGACAGTTGTTGTTGATGCTGTAGTTTCTTCAGATGCTGTAGTTGCAGTTAAACCTCCAGTTGCTGTTGTTTCTGTAGTTGAAGTTGAACATTCAGTTGATGTTGATGTAGTTTCTTCAGATAATGTAGTTGCAGTTGAACCTTCAGAACCACAGTTTTGTGCAACAGTTGGTGTAGTAGCAAGCTCAATTGCCACTATTTGTGAAAAGTAGACAGATGATTACACTTAACACACATGCTACTGAAAACACATGCATATGTATGTATATATAGATATTTATGAATACATTTAGATAGATAGATAGATAGATAGATAGATAGATAGATAGATAGATAGATAGATAGATAGATAGATAGATAGATAGATAGATAGATAGATAGATAATCTATAATAGATAATAGATCATGCTACCATACGCCAAACTGATCAAGAAGAAGAAAAACACTTAAAAGAAGCTGTTAATCGACATGATATGAAAGCATGTTACTACACAATATGTTCAGATGTTACTAAAATATGACAAATTAAAATCTGAAAAGCTAATAACTGAAAAGTGTGGCATATTGTGTATGTATGTATTTTTATTTTATTTTATTTTTTTAAGAGCTGCATTCTAATTTTTGTAAAATAATCAGTTACTTACCCAGAATGGTTAACAAAACGGTCAATGTTCGACAAGCCCCCATTACAGCCTCATGTACCTGAAATATTTGAGAATATGAATGTTTGTTATAAATTGATGTGGAAGTATTTATGCATTGACATAGCTTTTATTTATACTCTCTCCCTCTTCAGACACACTCCCACTGCATGTTTGGAATCATCATCATGCTGAAAGTTGAAGTTGTTTCCAGTCAAATGCTCTTCACATTGATCTAAAACACCACAGCCCCTAAGCGGTTTTTTTTTTTGTTGTTGTTGTTGTTTTTGAAGCATGTCTTTTTTTAGGCCTGTAACCTATACTTTTGTCCTCCATTTTTTTTCCAAATGTTTAAAGAACACACGTCATACGATGCTCTTTGGAAATCACTTTTTTTGTTCAAAAGTACAATTAAAATTATCTTTGCCACCATTAGTAGATTCATTTTTTTTAAAAAGTACTTAATGGTACTTAATTATTTTTGTAATTGATAACACACTAGTTCCCACCAATGTAATTGAGCATTGTGTGGCACATCCGACATACTGTTTTACTTTTAGCACATGATTCTCCTTATGGGGACCTGATATGTTTAATATGCTGCTGAGAATATAGCCCAGAAGAAGCGTATAGTATAGCTTTTATTTTGGAGAGAGCAATTTCTCTGTAATAAACTCTCTTTTCCAAAGATGAGTGATTTCTCGATAGATAGATTTATTATTTTATCCCTTTGTTGTTTCAGCAACATTAAATTTAAAAACTGTACGTTTGAGTTAAAATATATATTTATAATCTTAATTAATGACAAATTAAAAAAGCATGAACATATATATCGGTCCATTTACAAATATTAATTAATTTATTCACTTAATTAATAACAATGTAATAATGCAATTATCAATTGCACTACGATGATGTCGGCGTAAATGTGCAGTCATATTCGTTGTGTTCCCGCTAGTGCTTTCAGGTTAATCTCGTTGAAATTACCTTAACGCCACAACACGGCAAATCTCCGTTAACGAGCTACCGCCGATCACTCCGTGCATGGGGCTAGACGGCCAACACGTTAACGAGCTAACTGCGCTAACACACTAGTTCACACCAATGTAATTGAGCATTGCATGGCACATTCAACATACTGTTTTACTT